ATTGTTTAATTCTCGCCAAAATTAAAGCCCAGTTATTAGAATGGTGTACCGGCAAGCATTAGCTCTCAAAAATGAAGGTACTGCAGATAATTTCGGTTCTTACGCACTTAGTAATTTTAGGAAGCCGACAAGGAAGCTACGAAAATATTTTGGATTCTTGTTCAGTCATTGGTGATTTTTGCTTGGAAAAAAGTCCGGAAGGTTTGAAACTTTGTAGGTTTATAGGTTTTGGGGTCCTTAACTAAAATCCATAAAATGCACATTTCCAGACTTGCCGCCGGCGCCGCCATCTTGCAAATCGGTATTTTGTAAATATCTCGAAAACTATGCGTTTTCCGCAAAAATTTGAAGAGAGCAAAATTAAAGAGAATAAAATTTCCTATAAAAAAGGTTCTATGAAAATTTTCGCTAAAGTCAACCGTTTAAGCACAAAATCTGGGAAAATCCCTGGAAATTTTACAATTTTGCGTAAAATATGATAATTATATGTATAGTCAATTTTCCGAAATCAAATGTCGATTAGGGTTCACTAAAACTAGTTTTAGTTTAGTTTATTCAATTTTGTCATGAAACAGTGGAGTATCATTATGAATAATTAATTTTAATTATTGAAAATGTGTATTTATTTAATGTGTGTGGTCTCTCAATTCGTTCAACTCTTCATCTTCAGGCGCCAGAGAGATATCTACAGGCATGTTCAACTCCTCTTCAGCAGATTTGTCGAGTGAGACTTCAGTGACGTTGTCACAGGATTTCCCATTACAGTATGCACAAATCATTGAACATTTTAATCCTGCTTTTCTGCCTCCGCAGGCTTTACCACAGTTGTTGGTTTTGCATTTACAGGATAAAAATGCCAATAGGGATTTTGGAGCTGGATATGGCCACGTTGCGACTGGAGTAATGCCTGTATTTGTTTTCTTCCAACCCCATTCTTCAGCATATTTGGTACCAAACCAAACCAGACCAATTCTGAACCTGGTGGTAAGTTCGCAATTAATGCTGTCCAGCACGACAATTAATTATTCATAAATTAATGAGCGAATTAATGATACGCCACTGTTTCATGACAAAATTGAAGAAACTAAACTAAAACTAGTTTTAGTGAACCCTAATTGACATTTGATTTCGGAAAATCGACTATACATATATATCATACTTTACACAAAATTGTAAAATTTCCAGGGATTTTGTGCCTAAACGAAAAAATTTTCATAGAACCTTTTTTATAGGAAATTTTATTTTCTTTAATTTTGCATCAAAGGTACATCAAAGGCGTACGCCAAGAAATGCGTCCGGTCTATGGCCCGGTCTTTTCGTGCGGTTCTATCGTACGGTCCCCGTCCATACCACTAGCGAACATTCGTTCGTTCGTTCGTTCGGATAATGAATACGCACCTTTAGTAAAGGTGCGTATTCATTATCCGAACGAACGAACGAACGAATGAAAGTGCGGTATATTTAGACGGGGACCTTTTGATCTCGTTTGGTTATGCGCCATTGTTATTTTAAGAGATAAATGCCGAGCAGAAATTGTTTTCGTTTGAACGAATGCATTTAAATTGTTTAATTCTCGCCAAAATTAAAGCCCAGTTATTAGAATGGTGTGCCGGCAAGCATTAGCTCTCAAAAATGAAGGTACTGCAGAGAATTTCGGTTCTTACGCACTTAGTAATTTTAGGAAGCCGACAAGGAAGCTACGAAAACATTTTGGATTCATAGTTCAGTCATTGGGGATTTTTGCTTGGAAAAAGTCCGGAAGGTTTGAAACTTTGTAGGTTTATAGGTTTTGGGGTCCTTAACTAAAATCCATAAAATGCACATTTCCAGACTTGCCGCTCGCCATCATCTTGCCAAGATGGCGCCCAAAATCGGTATTTTGTAAATATCTCGAAAACTATGCGTTTTCCGTAAAAATTTGAAGAGAGCAAAATTAAAGAGAATAAAATTTCTTATAAAAAGGATGGGAAAATGAAAAATGGGAAAACACCGGAACACCTTATCTCTGAGTGCGCAGAAACGACAACCTTTCGTGCCATAAACTTTGTACGACTTATATCGGAGATGGAGAACTAACAAAAAAATTGGTCAAGTGCAGAGTCGGACAAGTTACGCAAGGGTTCCGTACCATTCATTATTTATACATTAGATACTATATTATTATAAACTTTTTTTTCCGATTTAACTGAAATTTTGAATGCGCGTATAAGTAATTTAAAAAAAATAAGAAACACATTACTAAAAATTGTATTAATCAATAATAAATATGTAAAAAGAAAAAATAATTATGTAAAAATTAAAAAAGTCGCCTTGACTAGGATTCGAACCTGCCTTACTACGGTTCCAACGTCATAGCAGCGTAAAGTCCCTAACGCTTTAACCACGCGGCCACCGAGGACTTGAAAGATTCTATGTAAAATTCTTACTTAAAACATAATGTTTAGTGGAAGTACTTTATTATTTATAAACATTTATTGAATTCTGTTTTTAGTATTTGTTCTTATAGCGGCAACATAGATACATTATCTGTTAAAATTTCAACTGTCTAGCTATAACGGTTCATAAGATAGACCTTTGTGACAGACGGACGGACGGACGAACGGACGGACGGACGGACGGACGGACGGACGGACGGACAGACAGGACGGACGAACAGACAGACAGACGGACGGACAGACGGGACGAAGACAGCGAAGTCTTGGTAATAGGGTTCCCGTTTTACCGTTTGGGTACGGAACCCTAAAATCATCAATGCTGAAAAATTAAGAATTCGCTTCTCCTCTGCAAATGTCATTTCAACAACAACGGTTAAAATTAGGTACAAAATAAGTACACAAAATGTATTTAGCATTTTATGTAGAATCCAGAAAGATTCTTATTAGAAAAACGAAGCAAATTTACCTAAAATAAGTTTGAAGAAAACAGCAGAAAAATAGAAATATGCCTAAAACAAAATAGAAAAAAAAACTGGCTTTGTTTTAAAAGTCAACCTTTGAAGTTTGAAGACTGCACCGTCAAAAATAATAAGGCCTCAAAACAACAATTTTGGGTCTTTTAGGGAGATTTTTTCTTCATTTTATTTAATCTTCTTTATATAAAAAGACCAAAGGGATTTAATTCGCCTGGAGGGAAGCATGGAGAATAACAAAAAAGAAATTTAGGTAATTTCTGTACGAATTATGTCAATCTGAAGTTATCAAGCACACGTCATGTCCAGATTCTCTTTATTAAATTTAACATGTTATTATTTTTAAACTCCTTTATAAAAAAATATAAGATGCCTAGAGGCTAGAGGTACCTCCAGCTCTCGTAAAGGTCAAAAAGTTCAAATTCTGCGGCCAGGTTTACATCAATCGGCCTTTTTATTAAAAAAAAAAAAGAAAATTTGGATACCTAATGTCAAATATTATTAATTACATCAAATTAAGTCCCATAGTAAGTATTATAAACGGGTCAAGTTATATCAAAATCGATTAAATAGTTTTTCAAATATCTTAATTTTTTTTTCTTTTTTAAGTAACTTTAACACCCTGTATCTCGAAAAGGAAGCTTTAAAACTTACAAGTTGATATGAACTTTTTGTTTTATTTTTGCAAGTTCTATCGTCTATTAAATTTTCCCGATTAAAATCTGAGACACCCTGTATATCACTGTAATCACAAAACTTCAATCTATTTCCGCATTGTAACGGAATTTTAAATTATGTCTTTATTTTCGAGAAAATTTAGTCCAAACATAAGGAATATTTTGTTGATGTCTGACCATCAAAATCTTAAAAATAAGGTATAATATGGGGCATAGACAATAAAAATCCTACTGAGAAAATACTATTTTTGTAAAAAACTTGCTATGCTATTGAGACTCAAAAATACTCATTTTAAAAAAAGTAAAAAATGTTTACATTCTCGTTTGTGCTTATACATGTTTCTTTGTGCTCATACATGCTCTTAAGGGAACATTACTGCATAATAATCCTGAACGTCGGTGAACATTTGAACATTGGGTACCTTAAACGAGTATTTCATAAATTATCTTTGTTGTAATTTCAAAGACCATCGAGACGGTGTGTTTTTTTTTTCGTTTGTTTTTTTTTCGAAAAAAATTCATAATTCACTGTAAGAAAGTATGTGTCTCGGTAACACTATACTTCACGTTATATCTTTTTCACCATCAGAATACTTAAAGACAAAAAAAAACAGTCCTTACAGATTTTTCATTTTAGAAGAAACCCGCCTGTCTAGGCCCAAAAAAAATCGAAAAAACACTTAATTACTGCACGAATTATGTCAACCGAAAGTTATCAAGCGCACATATGTTATTGCCGGAGATTATTTTTTCTCTCCCCCAAGCCACGAAACCTGTGAAAGGAAACGCCCCCAAACTTGCCTTTCCAATTCGAGACGCCTAGTTTACCATAACGCAGACGATAGTCGTTGTGCGGTTGTCGTTTTTTTTCGGCATTTAACTCCCCTCATAACCGACTATTAGGCTAAATTTATATTTTGTATTAAAAGTTTAAAAATAAAAAGTAATAACAACTTAGTAAGAATTTAATTATAAAAAAAAATAAAGAATAACATTCCCAACAAGTGGTGATACGAGTCAAATAGAGAACTACAACATTTGGTGGCAGCGACTACAAGATTGGTGACGACGGTGGTCCAATCCAGGATCACGACACACTGTTTTGTAATAAAATCATACACTTGAGTATTGATGCATTACGAAATAAATCTTCTTGGGCTGATATTTTTTTTTTTAATTTTGAAATTTTACAAGACGTTATTAAGTAAAAAATAAACTAACATCACTAAACCTATTCTTTAAATACCAGTCAAGGTTACTAGACCATGTTAAATGAAATGGAGCATGAAGAAGACAATGTATTAACAAAAATGAGAAAGAAACTTAGAACTTCATCAGACATTGATTGGGGGGTTAAAAATGTGATTTAAAACTGAATATAATAGTAGGAAATTTAATTAAATAAATGGACTCACCTGATTCAGAAGGAGTGTCGAGCCCGTAATTGTTCAATCTCATCGCAGCGTTCCGATCCTTGTGATAACTGTGATCGTTCTCAGCCGCTAACTGGCTACGTATCCGTAATTGTTCGGCGTCTAGATAACTCATCGACTCTTCTTCCTCCTCCTCTTCTTCTTCTTCTACGTATTCGGCTTCTTCTTCCTCCTCCACAATGTCGTCCAACGGTTCTTCCTTAATATCGATATGTTCCTCTTTAACCCCCACCTCCTTATCTTCGAGATACTTGCACAAGTCGCTGTCGTCCTCCAGATCGCAATCGTCGATAGCCTCCTTCAATATCTTCAGCAGAACATCTTTGTTCTCCTCGTCATCAGACTCCGGCGGCGTCTGAGGAGTGTGCTGGATTATACTCGTAGAACAAGACGGTATGAAGGTGTTTGTAGTGGTAGTCATCGCTTTTACTGATGGTTTTAACAAGCTCTGTTGTTTACCGGTCGCGCAGAGTTTGGTAGCAGTGGCCGGTTTAAGTTCCGCCGGTTTTAAAACGGGGGGTTTCGGCACGAAAAAGCCTAGATTCGATTTAGGCTCTTCGGCGTGCTCTTTGCTGCCGCAATGCCCCGCCCACATGCAGTCGTGGTTGTTGAGGAAGACGCGGTTCGGGTCGTCCGTGTTCAATAAGCAATCGAGAGAAGAGTTGTCGCAGGTGGTGAGTTCTTTGACGATGTCGTCGATGTTGGACAGTTCGGGGAAGTCGAGCTCGAATTTTTTCCAGTGGTCGTCGGATAGGAAGTGATAGTCGTCGGAGAAGTTTTTGTCGTCTGTGTCGTCCAAGAAACTGATGACGGGCGAAGTACTGAACTGTTCGGCGGTGAGCGGTCGCATCTCGTAATACGAATCCGCCATCTTATCTATCATATTCTATCTGCACTACTCTTGATAATAATAAACTATTCTAGTATTTATTTCTACGGTGTCTCTAAACGCTAATATCACAAATTTGCCCTGGGTCGGGGGGTAGCACTCCCTAGACGCTCTATACGCGAATCGGCAGCTGCTGCAAAAGAAAAATAAAATTAGCAACACTCTAAAAAATAACTTAAACTTGTATTGTATAAAAATGTTTGCTGTCCAACAGAAAATTAGCGCATTATGTAAATTTCCCAAAAGCTTCAATTTTATTAATCTACTAATTATTTTAACGCAATTATAGAAACAACATCCAAAGTGTTTTGCATAAATAAAAGGGTATTCAAGTTGTTATAACTTATAAGCAAAATGTACAAGAATGTGTAGTGTTTAAAATCTAAAACTGGTTTGTGACTCTTAACTTGTTTGTCCAAACGATGCCGACAATGGCACAGGCAAAGGTAGTGCCGAAATTAAAAGCCCCAAACCAGTTCAACTGACTTTAGAAATACTATTGTTACGGATCCGTGGGTCCTTTAATTCAAACTCACGATAAAACACTATGTTTCGCGTTCTAGAGTTATCGGTGGTATTCATTTTAGTTCTAATGCCGGGTCCAGACCAAGGCGACAAAAAGTAAACACGATTTTGAGACAAAAACAAGACAAACTTGTCACAAAAAATGGAGACTTCTGAAAAGACAAACTTGAGAAAAATTGTCCACACTCCACACCGAATGACAAAAGTACAACAAAATCAAAAGTTTAGTTGTTACGAATGAGTTTTATTAACCATGTGTGATTTCACTGGTCTCCTACTTTTCACTGGTCTCCTACTTGGCAGCACACGCCATCCACACTGCGCTGACAACATGTCGCAAAATATACGAACAAAACATAGAAACTTTGATCTTTACCGACTCGAGACGGGACATTGAAATTGTGTGCGTTTTCTAAATAAAATGAATATTTTTTTCGTTAGGTATATTTGTCAAAAAATAACATTTCTGTTCCAAAATTGATTTATTATAATAATATCATAATATAAAATGGTTGGTATATATTGGGTATATTACCAACTACTAACTACATTGAGCTAAGTAAATATTTAGTTACCTATGCGGTAAATAATAAAGATGTAACACATCCTTACTAATATTATAAACGCGAAAGTTTGTATGTATGGATGTATGAATCTTTGTTACTTATTGATGCAAAAACTATTGAAAGGATTTTAATGAAACTTTACAATAATAATACAGCTTATACATCAGAATAAGACATAGGCTAAAAATGTCGGTACTTCTATTCGGAGTTCGGTACTTCGGTATAGTTAACGAACTGAACTGATTAAATACCTTAGGGTAAAAACAATAGTGGAGCGACGAGGCTAGAGGCACAGCGACGAGGTAAGAGAAAAGATAAGCGACGCGACAGGAGACACGTACATAGTAAGGAGACAAAAGTTGCAATTTATTGGTCGACTTTCCAAATTCAAACCAGTATGTACAATGTTCTCCGCCAGCGAAGATGAGATTTTATTCGATAATGCGGCGCTTCGCGGACTTATAGCAGTGGGGAAATTGGGCGGACTTATGCAGTGGGGGTCTGGATGAGTGTCATTCCATAATGCACGCCTGTTTAATACGGATGTTATTATATTACTCTCAGCCATTGCGAATGATAAATGTTGTCTCTATACCAGCAGTACTCCTACTTAATGATACCAGTCAACTGAATAAAGGCCACACACATTCCAGCGTCAACGCCACAAGAAATCATATTTTTAACTCGACGCGCATCTCCTCGCTTGTCTCGTCGCTTGACGCTTCGGCAATCTCTTTACTATGTTTGCCTCCATTACAATACACGATCAAATTCAAGTCGCGACGCTTACCTCGTCGCTGTGCCTCTAGCCTCGTCGCTCTACTATGTTTTTACCCTTAGCCACAGCGCAGCGACGCGTAGACGGGTCTGCTAGTTACTATATAAACTACAAAAATTAACAAATATACTTTAAGCAACTATAAAAACTATAGGTAGAATATCACATGATAAAAAAACAGCGTCAGAGACGGCTTGGAAATGACGTTAGTCGTCATTTTATATGTAAAATTATCGTCATTCCGGGTCCCCTGGCGAAAACTGCGCATCGAAAATCAAAAAAAAGAAAATACCTACAAAAAAGACCAGTTTCAATATGTTGTTTTCAATAATAAAATTTGCGGATTATCCCGTATTTTTTAAAATATTAAATAAAAATTTTGGTACTATTTGACGTTGCGGCGGAATTTTGACCACAGATGAACCACAGAACATGCTTATTTTGACAGGTGACAGCGATAAATTCTGACAAGGTTAGGCAGTGTTGCCACTATATAAAGTCTATCGTTAATTGTGTATCGAAAATCAAAAAAAAAAAAAACACACCAGAGATTAACCAACGCGATCAAAATACGCCGTAGGCGTATTTTGATCGCTGTTACCAACGACTCTAAATAGATAAAAAAATAAACTAGTCTATAATTAATAACCTTGGTTTGGAATTTCAACACACTCTGGCAACACTGCATTAAATGTCATTCAGAATATAAATATGGCGACTTTTTTTTGGCGACAATTTTGAACAACATTTACATTTTTATTCTGTATTTTTCTTAACAGTAAGTAACTATCAAAAAATACATGAATTCCGCTCATAAAACACATTATTATTGACTTCTAAGTGGGTTGTTATTAAAATTTAGAAAAGATAGACATATTTAGCATGGGCAGTTTTAGTCATGGTAACCGTCATTCCTAAGCCAACTTGATGCAGTTTTCTTTCGATCATACAGTATATAACAGTATGCATGAAAAATATACCTAGAATCAGATAAACAAAATAATTCACACTTTTCATAAAAACGAATAACCTAATACTGAAGAATTCCTATAAAAGTAACAGAATTTTTTGAATCGGTGAAAAAAGGTTCAAAATAATATTATAAATCTAAATAACACTTTACAGATTAAATTCTGTAAACTTTTATAAAAGTATTCTTAGAACAGCAAAAAATAAACCGGTTTTTGACAATAACTTCATGAAAGATTTCTCTATACTCAGTGTAAAAGAATCAAATTATTATCAAAAAACGAAATAAAAATAATCCAAAAATATCATAAACCTACACTTTAGAAGAAGCAGCTTTGATAAGCACACATTACGCACGGCACAAACCAAAAATGTCACGAGAAGAACAAGTCACTATCACAACTAAAACCACAACAGCAACATCAGTCACCCGAAGACAACACCAGCTCTATTCCCAACTGACGATTACGAATGGCAAAAATATGCAAATGTTTAAACAACCCTGTTCAAGGCACACTATGGTTAACGCTACAAAGGAAACGATGGAATAATCCCTAATTTAGCCGCTCGCCCTAGGAAAAAACGCCGCCTTTTCCTAGTAATGCAAACAATAAAAGGGCCCGACTCTCATTGCAGGCAAAAAAGGGCCCAAACAGCCCCACCATAGCCAACTTTACGAGCTTTAAATTCTAATTATTCGAGGATTAACAACTTTACCTATAGGTTTAACAATCGAAAGGTAATTTGTGTGTTTTTATTTTAATTGGGGTGTCATTTCGTATGTCGTCTCGTCAAAATTTATTATAAATAAAAAATTGCATGATAATTAACTAAATAATTTTATATGCCCAGTGTAAACTTTATTGTTCATTCTAAAGAAAATGTATGTGGAATACAATATTGGTGATAACGTCAATATTTTCCTAGTTTCGGAGATACAGGGTGTAGAAATTTCATTTTTATTGCGGTTTTTTCCAAATAAATTATGAAGTAACGTCAATATATGGATGAATATAAGTGTGTGGAAGTTTTTTGACATGAGAAAATGGATTTTGATATCAATATGATTCCTATGATTCCTACTTGTAGAGGGCGCGTCCTACATATTTTTTAACTACCTAGTTTGAAGAGTTAGAACTTTTCGTCCGTACCTGTGATGACCTGTGAATGATCAATACCTGTCATCATTGACATAAATTAAACATATTGACTAAATAGTTATTAGACTCAGAAATCATAAATTCGAAATGTTTCTGTGCCAAAAGTTCAACAGAAACTGTTTTATCATCATTTTTTTTTAAAGAAAAATTTAGATTAATTTAAAAAAATAAACAATTCCCACAAATTTATTATTTCAATCTACTCAACGTGTTTATTTTTTGTCAATTGTATTGACTATTTCCATTCTAAATATCTTGAGAACGGTTGCTCGTAGCGATTTTTACCAGGACACATTTTTTACGTAGAAAGTTATAGAAATGCATATTTTTTCACTCAGTAGTTTTATACAAGTACGGGCGAGAAAAGTTATTACTCTTCAAAACAGTTAAAACACATGTAGGTGGCGCCCCGTTAGGGGATTTTAGGTTTAGGCTTCCCCACAAAGGAGTATATTAAATTCAGCAGTACTTTCGGATACACAACCTTATGAATAAAAAATTGGCGCCGGGACGCACGTATAGCCGCCCATACTAAAATATGTTAATAACAAGTTGGTAGGCAGTTTTTTTAGTTTCAAAGTAAAGGAATTTTTCCAATTTTGGTCCGCGGTTATTTCCCCTATCCGCCACCTGGGGTCGCGTCCGATGGGAGTTTGGAGTTCTCTACACGGATTTTCTAAAAAACGGACTACGGAAACACGGAATATCTCAAAAACTGCGACTTTGCTGATTTTGATGTTATTACAAATTTTGTTACAAATATTATTCCTAACCTTAAATTGAAAACCGCGTTTCGCTAGCTACTGTAATTTTGGAGTTACGATTTTTAAAAATTTTTAACCCATCCCATACTCCCTTACCAACCCCCCACTCCCACCAGAAACTAATGACCAGATTCGGGTGCCACATTATTATTGTGCCAAATTTGGTTAAAATCGGTTTAGCGGTTTTTGAGTTATCGTGTTACAGACGGACAGACAGACAGACACCATGAAAATATTTTGTATTTAGGTCATTTATGACCCAAATAACTCATTTAGAGTGAAATTAAAAAAACTTTTTTTTACCGATCTTAATAGCCTGTTGGTATGGTCGGCTAAAAATTATGTTGTATGTTCCTGGCCGGTATTACATA